AGCAAAGTTTGAATATTCTTATAAACATTTTCTTTCAATGGCGAATTCCGGGTACCTCTTTAACAAATTACTTTTTGCTAATAAAAAAAAAAAAAAAAGAGAAAGAAAAAGGATACATATGATTGTTGTGGAAAGTGGAAACTGTTTGAATCAATTAATAATATGCGGGACCCATTTATGACACAACTCGGAGTCATGGACAAGTTGCTTTTGCTTACTTGTGTATATAAAGGTTAAAGGTGTGTTGCCGGTAATGCAAGGAGACCGTAGCAGTACTTAATTGGTGGTTGATCTGAGAATATTTTGATGGAGTCGAAATGGTTAATTTATATGTTATTTACACTCTTCTTATTAGAAGGGCTGTGGTGCCAAGGGTGTTGGGACCAAGAGAGAACTGCCCTCCTCCAACTCAAGTCTTTCTTCACTAAACATGCGCACCTAAAAAACTGGGAGAGAGGAGAGCAAAATTTAGATTGTTGTCAATGGAAGGGGATTGAGTGCAACTCTACTTCTGGACGAGTCATAACACTCAATCTCAATTACTCATGGTTCGAAGAAGAATTTGATAGTTACATCTATACACCGAATGTCATGTATCTAAATGCGTCTTTGTTTCTTCCATTTGTGGAATTGAAGAGTCTCCATTTCGCTGGAAATCGAATAGCTGGTTGCATGGAAAATGAAGGTTTTTAATCTGTCTTTCAACTTAATTTCGTCTTTTACTTAAAAAAAAAAAAAAAAACCCATTTGTTTATCGTTTCATCTTTATTATTTTTTGGTATAGTTTCAAATTTTTTTATTTGTGGCTCCCAAAACGGAATTAGTAATTAGCTTGAATGTTGCAAGAAATTGTTTTGCAAGTTTTGAGAGGCTTTCTAAGTTGAGGAATTTGAAAATCCTTAATCTAAAAAGCAATCAATTGAACAATAGTGTCCTATTATCTTTTAGTGAGCTTTCATCCCTCAAGTGTCTATATTTAGCCAACAACAGATTTTAAGCATCTAACCATACTGATACCATATTTGTACATTTTTTACTTATAAAAACTTGTTCTCTTATTGCTTCATCTTAATATTTATGTGTGGTTCCAAAATTAAATTAATAATTTTACATATTGCAGGTTTGGAGAAACTTTCTAAGTTGAGGAATCTGGAAATCATTGATCTATATAGCAATCAATTGAACAATAGTATTTTATCATCTTTGAGTGAGCTTCCATCTCTCAAGTCCCTATATCTAGGCTCCAACAATTTCCAAGCATCTAACCATGCTGACGGTATGATTGTCCTTTTTTTACTTATAGAAACATGTTTCCTTATTGCTTCATCTTAATATTTTTGTGTGACTCCAAAATTAAATTAATAATTGTACATTTTGCAGGTTTCGAAAAGCTTTCTAAGTTGAGAAATCTAGAAATTCTCGATCTATCTGGCAATATATTGAATAATAATATCTTAACATTTTTGAGTGAACTTTCATCTCTCAAGTCCTTATATCTAGGCTGCAACAATTTCCAAGTATCTAACCATGCTAACGGTATAATTGTCCATTTTTTACTTATGAAAACCTATTTACTTATTGTTTCATCTTAATATTTATGTGTGGCTCCAAAATTGAATTAGTAATTGTAAATATTGCAGGTTTTGAGAGACTTTCTAAGTTGAGAAATTTAGAAATCCTTGATCTACAGTACAATATGTTGAATAATAGTAACTTATCATTTTTGAGTGAGCTTCCATCTCTCAAGTCTCTAAATCTAGCTTGGAGCCACTTACTAGCATCAAACTATGGTACGGTTTCGACTTTATATATATGCTTTATGCTAGGACATTAAAGTCAATAATTTCAATTACCATTTTGATTTTTTTTCAATATAATTAATCCATTTATTAATAATGAAGGTATAAATTCTTCCTTCCCTTGATAATCTCATCTCAATAAAAGCCAATTTGTTACGATCTTTTTTTAATATATTTTTAATGAAATAAGGAATTAAAGAGAAAAGAAAAAGGATACATATAATTGTTGTGGAAAGTGGAAACTACTAAGTTGAATTAAGAATGTGCGGAACCCATTTATGACAAAAAGATGGAATCATGGAATAGATGCCTACTTGTGTATATAAAAGTCTAAAGTGAATTGCTGGTACTGGCACGGAGATATATAGTAACAGTACTTGGCGGTTGATCTGAGCTTATTTTGATGGAGTTGCAATGGTTAATGTATGTGCTACTTACACTCTTCTTAGTAGATTGGCAGTGGTACCAAGGGCATTGGGACTTATAGTGAAGTGCTCTCCTCCAACTCAAACGTTTCTTCAATTTTATTTTTTCTCTAAGAAACTGGATGAGAGGAGAGGAAAAATACAGATTATTGTCAATGGAAGAAGGTTGATTGCAACTTTCACCATAAGACTAGTCATCTCACTCATCCCTACTTTCACACAGGCTAAAGCATATAGTAGTCGTTTCACTGACATGTATCTGAATGCCGCTTTGTTTCTTCTATTTGAGGAATTGAAGTCTCACTTTGAATTTTAATTGAATAGCTAGTTGCATATTGAAAATGAAGGTTTTTAACTACCGTTCAACTTAGCTAATATTGTGATTATCAACGATCGAGCATTTCAACATGTATATGATTGGTATATTCATCTCATTATTGTTGTCCTATCCTACATTTTATTTATGTGTTATTTTTTTAATTGAACCAAAATTACAATTCTTGTGTTCTGCTTGCAGGGTTTCTTAAGCATTCAAAGAAGTTGAGCCATTTGGAAATCCTTAACTTGGAAGGAAATTTCTTCAATAACAGCATTTTGTCATATTTGACCGAACTTTTATCTCTCAAGTCTCTAAATCTAGCTTACAACAAACTCCAAGCATCCAACCATGTTGATGGTACAGATATCCACCTTTTACTTATTGAAACCTATTTTCTTATTGTTTCATCTTAATATACATGTGGCTCCAAAATTGAATTAGCAATTGTACGTATTGCAGGTTTCGAGAAGTTTTCTAAATTAAGAAAATTGGAATTCCTCGATTTAAGTTATAATATGTTGACCAATAATAGTATCTCATCATCTTTGAGTGAGCTTCCATCTCTCAAGTTTTTATATCTAGCTGAAGATGAATTTCAAGCATCCAGCCATGCTGATGGTATAGATGCCCCCCCTCTCTCTTATAGAATCCGTTTCCTTATTGTTTCATCTTAATATATATGTCACTTCAAAACTGAATAAATAATTATATGTATTGTGAGTTTTGAGAGCCTTTTCTATGTTGAGAAAACTTGCAAATCCTCAATCTAAATCACAGTAAGTTGGACAATAGTGTTTTGTCATCCTTGAGTGGTAACTAGAACAACTTACTAGTTTCAAACTATGATATAATTTTAATTTTATGTTATATGCTTAGCAAAATTAGAGGATGGTGGACAACAAGCTTTGATTGTTAATTTAGAAAAGTTGTCAAGACTTGACCATTTGGAGGTGCTTGACCTACGTGGAAGAGTAAACTTTAGCTACAACATCCTATCATCTTTGGCAAGTCTTCCATCTTTAAAAGCTGTATTCCTAGGAGATGGTGAAATAAAAATGAACCCGAGTAAAAGAGGTGAGCTTGCTTTATCTCCATTTTATTATTACAATTATAATTTTTCCTTTCAAAAATGCGCCATCTTGTTATATTTTATTGGCCTAAAAATTTTTTATGGTAAATTTTCATCTTTAGTGTAATTTCTTTTCTATCTTCTTAGAATATTTTTCTTAGAAATATATGTTCTTGCTCTAAATTTATTAGTTATGATGAAAGATTGCAAGAATATAATTAATTGCTTTTCTTATTAGGTTTTCATAACTTGTCCAAAGTGGAAAAGTTGTTTCTCGAGAATTCTATCCTCCCAACCAACTTCTTTCATGGCATTGGAGCATTGCCTTCTCTCAAGGTTCTAGGATTGTACAGCTGCGGACTCAATGACTCCTTAACACTCCAAGGTTAGTTACAAATTTAAAGAAATAACTCTTTATTATTTCTTTATATTTTTATGGTAAAATAAAAATGAACCCGAGTAAAAGAGCTAAGCTTGCTTTATCTCCATTTTATTATTACAATTATAATTTTTCCTTTCAAAAATGTGCCATCTTGCTACATTTTATTGGCCTAAAAATTTTTATGGTAAATTTTTATCTTTAGTGTAATTTCTTTTCCATTTTCTTAGAATATTTTTCTTAGAAATATATGTTCTTGCTCTAAATTTGTTAATTGTGACGGAAGATTGCAAGAATATAATTAATTGCTTTTCTTATAAGGTTTTCATAACTTGTCCAAAGTGGAAGAGTTGTTTCTGGATAATTCTATCCTCCCAACCAACTTCTTTCATGGCATTGGAGCATTGACTTCTCTCAAGGTTCTATCACTGTACGGCTGCGAACTCAATGGCTCCTTAACACTCCAAGGTTAGTTACAAATTTAAAGAAAATAGAACCAATGTCCAGATTTTACCATTTTCTCTCTCTCTCTCTCTCTCTCTCTCTATATATATATATATATATATATTTGGAGTTATATGACTAACTTTGTAAGTGTTGTCACAGGCCCGAGTGAATTGACACATCTTGAAGTGTTGGATGTTAGCTACAATTATTTAGGGGGAGCCTTGCCTTCATGTTTATCAAATTTGACTTCTCTCCTAAGCTTAAGCCTCGATTCAAACAAATTTTTTGGAGATATAGCTCTATCACCCCTTAACAAATTGACATCCCTTCAATATCTGTCGCTTTCAGACAATCACTTCCAAATTCCCATCTCCTTTCAACCATTCTTCAACCATTCAAAACTCAAGCATCTTTATGTTGAAAATAATGAATTTTACATAGATACCAACATTGAA